TGGTACTGAAGCATGTTTACAGTAGGTGAGAAGAAGGTTGGAGCAATAACTTCGGACCTGCCATAACTGGAATTGTGAGTTTAGGTTCTGTCTCTCTCATTTTCATTCTCCTGAAGTGGACTCGCAGTTGGAAATGCTACTTTAGGTGTCAAAGCTGGTTTGGGACCAAACTATGGGATGTTTGAGGATGCAACACAGCCTTGCCCCAAACTTTACTGCCCATTCCAAATAATCAGACTTGCCATTTTGCTTTCCACATTGTGTAGTCATTCATGGTGGTATATAAAAGACTGCTTGTCTTATTTTTTGCTGCTTTGCCCTTTGATCTGCCTTTGCACGATGCCAAAGCTGTGCGGTGCCAAGAGCAATACGTGGTCCATGGAAAGCCAGCAGCCTCCTATGCCTGAGAGAAAGTGAAGTCTGACTGCCGGTCCTGGAGTATGGGCACCGTATGTGCCAGCTCTTCAGGAATCAAATGTTTTGCAACAGCTGGTATATATACAAGTACAGATACCTGTCTAAATAGAGGAACAGTGGAGGGGGCTTAGATTATTTTTTTTAATGATTCCTCTGTATCTAGGTGAGATTTGGGCTACAAACCCCATATTTCTCCTGCCCTGAAAGCTGAAGAGGTCACACAATTGCTGCTGCATCTGGTGTTGGAGTTGCTGTTGGCCATCAGGTCCTTCAGGCAGTTTTGCTGGGGAGGCACTGAGGAGTAGGGACAAAGCTCTGCAGGGGTTGCTGCCCGGCACGGAGTTTGGGATGTTTCCGTAGTGCACGCACACTTCTTCTGTTACCCTGCAAGGACAGCACGGGCAGCTCTGCAGTAAGTTCTGAAATGAGTATGCAGTGATGTATGTATATTTGTGCCAAAAACTGCCTTGTAATGGAGGGTTGTGCATCAGCCTAGCCCAAGAGGTGGGAATGTGCATGTGGAAGCTAGAATAGAGTTAACAGGTACCCCTGGCTTCAGATGACTTTGCATGACTGCTTCTTTTATAAATTTGAGCATCTTCAGTCTTCACTTTGTCATTTTGTGCAATACTTCTTTGGTTTGGGATTTTTAAGTCCGTGGGGATTGAGCTCTGGCTCGTGTTTCAGCTGAGCCCAGAGGGCAGGAAAAATGTGGAGTGTATTAACTGTACATCGGATTTTCCCTACGATGTTGTTTTTTCTCTAGAGATTTGGGAGGGGAAGCATTAGGAGCTTGTCACTGTGATTTTTTTTTTTAATTTTTTTTTTTTTGGCATACTGCTGATTTTAAAATGTCTTCTCTTGCGTTTCTCCTCAGTCTTTTACCTACAGACTGCAGGGTACCCTGAGGTCAAGGGCAAAGTTTGAATTGCTTTAAATTTTCGGTATGACCCGTTCTGAATATGTCTCCTTGCAGACAAGTCCTAGATGGATCCCTGCCCCAAGGAAGATACAGATGAGGGGAAGCACTGAAAGAGATGACAAAATCCAAATACACTTGAGCGCTTTGCTTGTCTCGCCTTGCTCCAGTGGTTCACAGCAGTCATAGATGCAACGTATGGCTGCTGTACATTGCTGGGTGGCACAGAGCAGCCAGGGGCATACCGAGTGAGTCTGGCCCCATATTCATCAGGCAACAACTGACTGCTTAATTTCCACTCTGATGAATCGGAGGGAAGAAGAAGGATAAAATAATGGGTGAAGAAGCGCACAGGGTTGAGTAACCGTGCAGAAAGGAAGGACATTGAACAGTGCCGGTTGAGAGAAAAGACAGATACTGCTGTTGATTTCTGAAGATACTGCACAGAAATCTTTGGTGTGGAATGACGGATAGCATCAGCAGCAACAACCAGAAAAGCAAGGGGGAAACAGTCCTGTTTTTTCAGGCCATTGGAAGCTTGAGGTCCTCACCTGTTTGTCAAGTTCAACACAGTACGGCTGAAGGCACAGCTGAAAAAGCAAGCAGATAATACCAATTGGCAGAGAATTAAAATAAGGAAGTTGAACTGTAGCCAAACCAGTGAAAGCTGGTGGTGGTTATTTAAATGTTTCTATTTATAAAAAAGATATTTATAATCACAAAGCTTTTACCTTTTTCCCCCGTTTCTCTTTGGTTTGGCGTGCTCTCTTCTTGCTGGGGAGCAATTCCCTACCATAGCTTTTCATCAGTAAATTTGAGTTTTGCATCAAACACCAATATAAAGAGAGCGAGTTTTTCTTCTTAAAAGCATTTTATTCACTTTCCTTTAATCATTTTGGGGGAAAACAGTTGAAGCTAGAAAATTGGCAGAGTTGCATGCCCAAGCCGTAGAATTTCCTTTCTCTGTACTGGCGAAAACCAGATCTGATCCAGCAAAATTATGAGAGCTATAAATGATCTTCCAACACCCCACTGGTCACCCGCTGTGGTCAATTATAGTTTTGAAGCTGGCATATAAGTATCAGATGTTTGGCCATTGCACGTCTTTACTAACCTCCAACCCAAGTAACACCCTTTGGCGTGACACATCCTATAATTTGTTAAGTTTTCTAACAATGGCGCATTTTGCATTTCATTTGTACTTTTCATCCAAGATCCCAAGAATACGCTCCCCTCACTACAGAACAGGGTAATTAATCATCAGGGCTGTTTGTAAGGAAAAGGCCCGTCTGTGGGAACGGAGGCATAGATAAAGTAGAGAATAAAATGTCTATATCCCACTGCTTTAATCACTTGGAGAAATATCTCCTCTACGTATTATGATTTTAAACTATTTGAATCTTATTTGTAAAGATCTTAAAGCAGTATTTTTTCACACGCTTAAGGTGTGTTTTCACGGAAAAATAGTTTCTTGTTGGATATTCATTTTTTAAAGATGCCATAAAGCTGTTTGTGCTCTATTTATTCTTTTTAGAAATCTCTTCAAATATTAGATCGTTTAAACATCTGTTTTCTGCAGGGAAGACTCTTCCAATTTTGTTTTAATTTCTATCCGTTAAAATTATAAAGAATAATCTAAATAAATGAGAGAGACTTCCAGGAGAGAATACTTATTAAAAAATGCAGGCAAGTCTGCATTTTAAATCCAGGTGTTGGTACTTCTTATGCTCTGTACATCCCCAGAATATAAATGTTGAACAGTGTGCCAAGTGTTTATGCGAGTCAGCCACTGAGCGATGGCAGGAGAATTTGGAGAGCTTGTTTGATAAGCCGTTGTCGCTTTTTATCCTTTACCTCTCTGCTTTTAATTCTTTCCTCCCTGTTGCTGTGTCAGATGTCCTGCTTTTTCTCTCCAAGGCGCTTGTGACCTTCCAGACAAGCATACAGTTTTACTGTGGTTGTTACAACCCTGGGCCGAGAGCCAGGGCTGGGATTACGGCTACTCCTGCTCCTCTATCTCCAATGTTCAAACAGGCTATTAGGGAATTTGTTCTGGTGTTGCTGTTGCATGTAGAGGGTGATACTGGTTTAGGTTGCTGTCTCATGGTCATGGTGGACAAGACCTCTGGTTCCAGTTTTCCTGGTGTATACCCCCGCTTTTTGTTTTGAACGTGCTCACTGAACCTGCGTCGCCTCTCTCCTCCTAGGATGGGTGGGTTTGGGTCCATGCTAGAAATATAATTTTTAGACTAAACTATTTGCAGGGGGGACATGGATGTGAGGAGGGAATCCAAAGCAGTTTGGTGGAGCTAACAAGGTGGCTAAGAAGCGTCCCCTCTCAGGTGTGTTACCTGGTCTTGCAACGCTCCAATGCAGTGATGTTTGTGGGGCTGTTTCATAACTGAAGTAAACAGGATTAAGGTGGCCGTTCTTGCCAGTACCTCCAGTGTTGTACCTATTGGTAGAATTACTGATGAATAGAGTTAGATGCCATATATTTACTGAGCTGGGAAACTAGATAAGTTCTTCCCCCTGAAGAAAAACACTAAAAAAACTCCTCCTTAATGTCTTTCGTAAAGTCTGCTTGGCTCATATGGGCAGAACCTCTCCTCCATGCTTAAAAGGAAGGAGAAGTAAAAGCTAATGGAAAAAATACATGTCCTAGTCTGGCTTCTTTTCCAAGGTTATTGTTGCATATCTCACAATTGGAGATAAGGTGAAGTTTAATCACAATAAAGAGGTACAATTGCACTGCCTCCAGCAGGTCTCAACCTGTGTATATCCCAGCGGGAATGGCACTGGGAAGATGATGCTGTGCAAAGCATGGCCATAGCTGGCTGTTTATAGACCACAGGAAAGGAGGAGAGCTTGCTCTCCAAGCTGGACTTCCATGTGTCTGTTACCCAAGGATGGTAATGCAGCATTTGCTCTTGTAAATAAGTTCTGGTTTTTAGCATGACAGTGATTTTGATTAATAAACGTGTGCCCTCTATCTATGCCTGAGGGTTTAGATGTCATGGCAGAAAGTGACTTTTGTGCCTGAATGAACATGTATGTAAATTGTGTTATGTCAGTAGCTTTACTTATGTCCTGCCCCACAAAAATTCACAGCTGTAAGGGCTTCTGCATAATGGGCTTTTGAAGCCCCCGCACTTCAATTGTCAGGATTTGTATTTGCAAAAGAAATTCAATGAGCTCATCAATGACGCTGCGAGCATCTTGTCACTGTCCATTGTTTTGGCAATTGTCAGTGGAATTCCACTTACAGGAAAATCCTGTAGATGTATTGTCTGTCTCATGTATAATTTTAAAGCAAATCTGTAAGAATTCTGTTGCTGAGATACTGTTTTCTAATAGATTTTTATGGGTTTGGAGTAGTTTCTAGGACGCTTCTTTGGAAACATCTTGACCTCTTGGGCAATTCCCTGTAAGAATTATCCCTAAGTGACATCATAAGTGACTAGAGGATATTCAGAAGAGCTAACAAGGGCCAATTCTGAGAGCATAAGTCATCTGTGACATTGAGTTATAGATGGTGACTGGTTTTGAGCTCTACACACACAGGCTACGTCTTGGAATGTGACAAAAATGATGTGGTGGTGGCAGCAAAGTCATCCATACTGGCTGTAATTACACTGGACTTCTTTCTTTTTATCCAATGTAGGTGTTCTCTGCCTGCCGGACAGCTTGAACCTTCACAAAGAGCAGCAAAGGTCAAACAAACCTGGGGAAGTGCAGATGTTCAGCCAGTCAGAGCTAAGGACCATCGAGCAGTCTTTACTTGCCACGCGTGTGGGGAGCATTGCTGAACTCAGTAAGTACAAGGCTGTTCCTAATGTTTGGGTTTCTGTCCTCGGAGTAAAGCAAAGCCGCTTGCATTGCCTGGTTGTGCAGATAGATGAGGTGGCACATATAATGTTGAAGGGGACGCTGGGTCTGATCTAGCCATGCTTATGCTCCAAGGCCAGTTTGAAAGCTGAAGCCATAGATGGAAAGAAGTCTCATGAAGTCTCATAGCAATGCCTATGACTTGTTTGCAGACGCTGCTTTCAATTTTTAAAGAGGAAAGATGCTTTATTTCATCTTTCCTACATTGCGTTTGAGAGCACCTCACAGCTTGGCCAGACTTGGAAATGTCTGCCGTATTGGTGTCCTGTCTCTTTTGACTGGGATGCCTGTTTTGAGATGGGCAGGCAAAAAGCTGAAGGTTGCAATACGTGAAGGAAATATTCTCACAAATTTAAAGCAGAGCTAGTTCCACCTGTGGTACAGAGGGTCCTTCACCCTGCCTTTCCTTCTCTAGTTCCTATAGAGGAAAGAACCACAACTCAAACCTACATTAGAGGAGTTTGTACCTGGAAGATAAATTATTTGCTATTACTCAAAACACTTTCTGAGAAATGTGAGAATCTATGATATCTGTCAAAACCTGAACGCTTTGGTTTCAGCACAAGTACATTAGTACAAGTAGGGGGGAAATAATTTTATCTCCACATCACATGAGGAATCTCACATGGTGTCAGAAGTGCCTTTTTTAATTATTTTTTTTTATTGAGAGAAGACTTCCAATTACATCTTTACAGTATAGTTCGAGGTATGAAGCTACGGGTGGGAAAACAGAAACATTCAGACAAAAAAGGTATTTTTTTCCTAAGACCTGTCAGAAATACTGTCAAGTATTTTTTTCCTCAGACCTGTTGCAAAATTTTGGGGAGAAATGGAAAAGATTAAAATCTATGAAGATACAGGCGGCCCAGCTTACTGTTGTTCTTATTGCTGAATTCTGTGTTATCGGCATCGTAAAGAGCACGTATAGGGATCTAACGTTCGCTTTCCTTGCGCTTTCTGTAGTGATGGGAGTCTCCTCCGTAGCTCCATCATATCATCAAGACTCACTTCATGTGCTGTTCATGCACCATGGATGTTTGTCTGCAAGCCTCAAAATGAATTTCTGTTCTCAGCTTGCTAATTTTTCTCTGCTTTGGTGAAATGTCAACAAGCCAAGAGCACTTACATGCCTTAGCATGAAGTGTTACTCCGTCTCTGTAATCAGGTGTTTGGTGTTATTCAAATTAAGTAATTTATGCTTATTTATTTCACGCGCATGGAACACACAACAGTGCTGTCTTTGTGCCAACTAAATTATGCATGACACAGCTCTCTTTCTTAAAGTACATATAGTTGTGTTTTAATAAATAAGTAATCTGTGGATATTTCAGGGTTTTTTTTTTCCATTCTGGATTTTTTTGAACCTCTGTACGCAACCCAAAAAAACAGACTCCTTAAACACCCCCACTCCACCCCCCCCCCCCCCCCCTTTTTAAATTTGATTTCCAAACATCTATCATCTCTAAGTAGTCCTACCTCAGATTCAAATGTTTGGTTGATAGAGTTTGGTCTCTCTCTGTCTGTTGACTGCAAACACAAGCAAAACACTCTTCAGGGTGGCCAACTCAAAGAACAGAGCGCATCAGTGGGAGTCAGATGCAGCTGTCAGAGAGAGGTTGGCACCTTCAGCATGCTGGTAGCCCTCCAGAAAGCCCTCTGGACAACCGTTGGGGGTACCTCCCCAGCCACTGCAAGCAGATGCATGTCGGGGGAAGATGCAGTAGGAGGAGTGGTAATTGGCAAAGCTTGCAAGCCTTGATGCTCAGCTAGGTAGAAGTCTTTGCTGTGGAGCAGTGCCGGTGCAGAGTTTGCAACTGGATTGTGAAACGTGAAGAGAAGTGCGGCATGTTGGTAGGCAGTACCCTGTGGATTTGGGAGAAAATCCTAAAATGCGAGGAAAAGGGAGGGGTGGAGGGTGCAAGGGGGTTTGCTCGTTGCTCAGTGCTTGTGTATCTGTCTGGGGCATCAGCAGGGGCTGTGACCCAGAGGTTAGAGCAAAGCTGCTGCCGTGGAGGGAGGCTGGAGAACCGCAGCGTGGGGGCAGAAACGCTGAGCAGCAGGGCAGAAGCCAGGGGGGAACACCTGGGGAATCAGGGTGTGTTGGCGGGGAGGGAGTAGGCGAAGGAGGATTTACTGTTGCCATGGTGGTGCGAGGGGGGTGGAAAGCTTTAGAAGTGCCATTGTGGAGGGGAAAGAAGATATGGCAAGCTCTGGCATGGAGAAAGCGGGGTATGAGGGAAGGGTTAGGTATGTAAAAGCCCCTGCTCTTGTGGGGATGAGTAAAGGTGATGAGGGGGGACTCTCTGGGTAGGAGGGAATTGAGAGGATAACACTTGCGAAGAGGAGGAGGAGATGGCAACCAGGAGTGAATGGCAAGGACAGAAGCTTTGCCTGCTGGACCAGCAGAGCGGGCAGTCCCTGGGCATGTGTCTGCAATGTCCCACTGGCTTGCAGTGTCCCAGAAGCCAGGACTTCATTTCTGTTCTCTTTAAAAGAGCAGAGAAAACAAGGGCAAAGAGTGATCTTGCAATAAAGGAATTTAATTTTATCTCATATCAAAAAAAAAAAACCCAACTTCTAATTGAATGAGATTTCCTATAGTTTATCAACATTAATAATTAAAGTATTGCAAGTATGGAGAATAAATAGAATTAACAAATGCCCATGGAAAGGGCAGGCTTCTGCTGCTCTCAGTCCTGCTCAGCATCCTCGCACGCAGTGGTCTGGCCAGCTGCCGAGCTGCTGGAGGCTTTGAGACCGGGAAATCAAATCTGTCCCCTGGAAGACAACAGCTGGCAAACGGGGCCTGTGTACTGCCCAGCACCTGTATTTCAGCTCAAATCTTAGTTTCTTCACAGTCTCTGTGTCTGTCCCAGGTGGAAAATAGATTTACAAGGTGAAAATCCTTGTGTCTTGTGGTATTTTCACCCTGCATGACAGATGATGCTCTCATTCTCCTGCTCCCTTCGTTTGTTCATGCATGCTGTTGGCGTATTAGAAAAGACTGTTTGGGTGAGCTGCGTCTCCCTGGGGTGTGACAGAGGCGATAGAAAATTGGCGAAAGGTGGGATGGTGGGCATGACTGTGGAGGAAGGGTAGCACCCTTTGGGAACACTGCAGAGAAGGAGGTCAACCCACGCTGCTGTTGGGCAGGTGCCTTGTGGCCAGGCAGGTGCAACCAGACTCATGGACCCTGTTCCTGTCCCCCCCCAAACCTTGCTTGCCTGAGCCTGGTGGTGCTTCTGCTCTCATCTCCTGGGCTTAGCAGGCAGCGGGTGCTGGTGGCTGCCGGGATGACCCTGCTGTGCCTGGTGGCAGTGGGGCGAGGTAGCACCACTAGCCCTGGGGCACTCTCCAGAAAATAGGAAGAAGAGGTGATGTTGCTGACTTCAAGGAAAAATCAAAGGAAGGTTTCGTCTCCAGGACTTAGGAGGAGAATGTAAATAGAGACCTAATTCTGCAATGCAATTACAGTGGTAACGCATGATTCCAAGGAAAAGGCTTGAAAAATTAATGTGAATCCTTATTCATTAAAATATAATGAACATGGCACAAAGTTAAGGAACAACAATAAATTTGGACTACGTTATATTGGCATTTAGTATTCAGGAATTGTAATTGCCAACTACAGTGTGTTTTAAAATAATGTAATTTCATTTGAAATGCTTATTATATAGAGAACATTGGGAAGAACTGAAGCACAGCAAAAATAATAGGATTTTAAACAGTAGTCTGACAGTATTTCACCATTTAATCTTAGATAAAATATTTCACAAGACTTTTTTTAGTTGGGTTTTTTGTTTGGTTGTTTTTTCTCCACCCTTCCCCACCTAATTTTTCCTAAAATTTCCTGTATTTCAGTATTTCACCATTTAATCTTAGAGAAAATATTTTGCAAGACTTTTTTTAGTTGGGGTTTTTGTTTGGTTGTTTTTTCTCCGCCCTTCCCCACCCCCTAATTTTTCCTAAAATTTCCTGTATTTCCAGACCAGACGTAGAGTGGAAGAGGAGGAGATCTGATTATTTTTTTTCAGAAAGTTTTGGGAGTTCTTCTAGCTTTCTGTTTCTTCTCTTTTCTTTCTTCTGCCTTCAGAGAGGGAAAAATAAGTAGACTGAATAGAAGAAAAGAGGAATATTAGGGAGAGCTTTGGATGTTGAGAGATCCCATGATACTGCATTTTGACCTTTTGAATATTTTTCCTAACTTTATATGCATGTTTGCAATCCACAAATGTTTATGTTATATTTAACTGCATAGGACTCCAACACACCTATTCATCATCCATCTAAAAATATCACTGCCAGCTTGGAGACCAGATACGGAAGGGATGAGGCTCACAAGTGGAGGTCGCTGGTGTTTAGCTGGATGAAGGAGGACTCTCTTCTGTGTGCCCATAGTGGGTGACAGGGAAGAGCAGAGCCTTAGCGTATGCTGGCCACCAACCCTGGCACCAAGAAATACCCCTCTCTTGCTGCCTTCAGGTGGAGACTGTAAAGTGTTAGTGTACGGCTGAGCAGGGAAAACCACCCTGTGCTGAGGTGCATGTGAAGGGCTGCAGAAGGTCAGTGTCTCTTGAGCTGCACAGAGGAATAAAGTGTGGCTTAGGATATCATTCAAACTGTGTCTTCACGCATGTTTTCAGGTTAGAGTGGAAAACTGTTTGGGGCTTGCTTTGAGTCCTAAGATAACCAGTCCGCTATGGTTTTCCTGGGTGAGAAGTTGTCCACGCAGTCTTGTGTAAACCACAGTGACGACTGGTGGTGGTATTACTCTGAGTGTTAACCACAATGAATAGGCATTTTTATTTTAAACTAGGGTAATCTGAAGATGTGGATGCAGCTTAACACTGCTGATCTCAGAGCTTTTTAGCCTTTGAATGGTGTCTAACTTACAGGAGCTCCCAGATTTGATGTTCAGGCTTGTAA